GACATGGGATTTGAACCTCAGATCCGCAAAATCGTGGATCAAATTCGGGTAAGTCGTGTTGTTTAATTCAACATGAAAGATAATTTATAGCTTTTGAGACATCGGAGCAGATTGTCTCAGTTAAATGTGGACAAGAGTTTAAAATATTCAATGGCTATAAACGCTCTGTTCTGGAGCTCCCCTTACATTTCATTGTCGCTAACCAACAACAATAACTCAGTTCAGTTTCTAAAAAAGTATGAAGGTGTTCTGAAGGTAGGAATTAAAAGCATATTGACCAAACAATCCGCTTCAAATACATTATCAGTCAAGCTCTTATTAATACCAGATATCCAGCTGCTGTGACCACATTTCAAAGTCCTCCTTTCTGCCTGTACACCAGCCAGACCGTCAGACCCTGATGTGGAGTGCCACCTGGCCTAAGGAAGTCCGGCAGCTGGCTGAGGACTTCCTGAAGGAATACGTCCAGATCAACATCGGCGCGCTGCAGCTCAGTGCCAACCACAACATCCTGCAGATTGTAGACGTCTGCAATGACATGGAGAAGGAAGACAAGTGAGTGGATGATTCCCTCTTAGAGAGTCTGTGAGCCGACTGATGCAGGAAAGTCTTTGTGTCGGACCTTTTTTAAAGGCTCGTTGTTCAAGAAACATTTCTGTCTGGATCGACACTAAAACGATGCATTACATTTATTTTTTGACTTTCACTATTTTATTTAAAGTCAACAGAATACAAAATGAGTAGGTTATGGTAGAAACAAAGTGTTGGCAAATCATTAACTTTCTATTCTCTTCTCTGTCAGACTGATCCGTTTGTTGGAGGAGATAATGAGCGAAAAGGAGAACAAGACCATTATTTTTGTGGAGACCAAAAGGCGTTGTGATGAGCTCACCAGGAGGATGAGAAGAGACGGGTAAGGTTCTCTTCTTTCTCGCAGCGCAATAGGGAATAGGCTTTGATAAACAATTTCATTTAAACTTACTTTACTTTCTTTTAAATCATTTGTTTTCTGTTTAATCTGTTTGTCACAGGTGGCCGGCAATGGGGATTCATGGAGACAAGAGCCAGCAGGAGAGGGACTGGGTCCTTAATGGTGAGACTATTGAATCACATTGAAAGTACGACATGAAGTAGATTAAAGCTGCCTTATAATTGACTCAAATTGTTTTCCTCTCTCTTCAGAGTTCAGGTATGGCAAAGCTCCAATCCTCATCGCGACAGATGTGGCCTCCCGTGGATTGGGTCAGTATGATTTCAAGTAGCATCACTTCCTTATCAGTGTTACACTTATTTTAAAGAAAGTGGTTTTGCTTTCTTTAACTTTTCTATGCATTTTCTGAGTTTTTCTCACCTTAAGGTGGAGTCTTTGTGGCAGGCGCTAGGCATGACAGTCCCAGGCCTCGAGAGGGAGAAGGATGACATATTGGAAGTGCTCTACTGGCTTGCCACCCAGTGGGCGTAGAGAGGTGAAAGCTCTTGTGTGCCAGTGATCTTCAAAAGGCTGTGTGGCTAAGCCTTTGTCTCTGATATGTTGTTGAAATACACACACATCTGTTCTCTGTCCATGGATTTCACCTGACAAACGCCATCCAGCTGTTTCCAACTCAAACGTAAAAAAAAGAGAGAAAAAAAAGACATGCTTGATGTTGTGACTTTTGCCTTGCATGCTGTTTTGTTACAGAGCGCTGTATTGCAAGTCACTTGTTTGAGATTTGGAACAAATTTTTACCTTTGGGAGCTCTTATCACATAGCATGGGTGCTTGTGAGCCTGTCAAAGCTTTCAGTTGTTTTCTTTTCCCGTCAAAGTGCTGGATTCCTTGAAATGGAGAGAGCAGTTTGAAATCTTGTATTCGTCTCTGAAAATTGATGAGACCTGGCACATGTGTTTAGGGGGTAGTGGGAACACCTAGTGAGAGGAGAAAGAGAGTGAGACAGCTCAAACCAAAGTTCCTCCCTCGCCTGCGTTTTAAAGTCATGTCGAGACCTGCCAACGAGAGACATTTTCTCAAGTGAACACTGGCTTCTTGAAGGATCTTGCCTTGATGAGACTGATGAAGTGGGTTGTGGGAATTGTTCTGTGCTCGCTGAGGGGTCCCACAGGGATCAATGCTCGGGCCTTTTCTCATGTTTTTTTGAACCGGGCCCCTGCTCAAATTAGTACTTGGTCTATTTTGTCTTGGCAAGACGCGCAGTGCGGCCTTTTAATATCAAGCTTCTTTTGAGAGTGTACTGGGAAAAACGGACCTACAAAAAGTACCACACATTGGTCCTATATTGGCACATGAGGAGGCCCCAGTGCATTTCGTGGCCCAACTGCGTAGAAGCTCCTGGAAGTCACTTGACAATTTGTGAGGGATTTCGCTGCATTGGGAAAGGACTAGTGAATGCATACTCCTTTATGGTAAGCCTTAAATCCATTTTTTTTTCTCCCTTGGTTAACAAAAGGAGAGTGAAGGTCTTTTGGATCATTTTGATTATGGTAAGCAATTGGAGTGTGCATCGTTTCTCTCTTCCCACAGTAGTATTCCCGTGGAGTAGATGTATTCACAATCTTATGCTGTCCTAACACGTTTTCCCTCCACAGCCTAACGACCTCTTCTCTTCCCCAGCCGTCACAGCTGCTAACTTTTACCTTTGATCTGGCTGTTGTGGTGTGCAAAATCCTGTGTGGCCTCCATGTTTTGTTTTGCCACACTGCAACACTTTCACAGATGTGGAGGATGTGAAATTTGTCATCAATTATGACTACCCTAACTCCTCCGAGGATTATATCCACCGCATTGGACGCACAGCCCGCAGTCAAAAAACGGGCACAGCCTACACCTTCTTCACCCCCAACAACATGAAACAAGCCAGCGACCTGATCTCTGTGCTCCGCGAGGCCAACCAGGCCATTAACCCCAAACTCATCCAGATGGCAGAGGACAGAGGAGGTAAAATCTGTACTTGTTTACATTAATTAACATATCGAGTATAAGGAAGATCAAAGTTAATTTAGACCTGTCATTGTATGGTCGTAATTGCCGTGTGCCGTTTTCCGTCAACCGTCTAAGCTAACCAGCGATCCACTTCGGCTAATGCTGCGAGCCTCTCTACCTACATCAGCCACGTTAGGAGTGAACAGACCAATCAGGAAGATTTTAGGAGCAGCTTTTACCCAGAATTTTCAGGAGTGCATTTGTGAAAACAACTGAAACTCATGTTACAATTTAAATGTGAGAAACCCAGACTTTTTTATTTTATTTGAATGGTGTCTCCTTTGTTTTTTTTCTTCTGTCTTCACGTCATCCAGGTCGTGGAAGGGGGGGAAGAGGAGGCTACAAGGATGATCGTCGGGATAGGTATTCTGGGGGTGGGAGGAGCAGCTTTGGTGGTGGTAGCTACAGGGATAGGGACGGTGATAGAGGGTTTGGCGGGGGGCCCAAGAGTGCCTTTGGCGGCAACAAGGCTCAAAACGGTGGCAGCTATGGGGGTAACAGCGGTAACTCTAGTGGTAGCTATGGCAACAACAATTATAATAACAGCAACGGACAGGGTAATTTTGGTGGTCCGCCAAACCAGGTGGGTGCCTTTGGTAACCAAAGCTTTCAGGGGCCCCCTCAGTTCGGGGCCATGCAGAGGGCCGCTCAGAATGGTATGAACCACCCTCCATTCCCGTTCAGCTCGCAGCCGCCACCACAGGCCCAACAGCCACCACCCCCTCCGCCAATGGTGCCCTACCCCATGCCGCCACCTTTCCAACAGTAGATCATATTCGCACAATAAATGGAACCAACATGATTTTTGTTCAGTCCTGAAATCTTACAGGATGATGATGATTATTCTTATTATCCTTTGTACTGTTTAACTTTGTTTTGCTTACAGCAGGGTTGGAATTATTCAATACACCCAGAGCATTATTTGACTATAGTGCAACTTTGATTGCGGCACTTTTCCTTGACTGTTTTTTTTTTTTGTTACATTCCTCAGTAACTTATTTTTACTAGGTAATGCAGTGTTTTCAGTTTGTGGTATGTTTAAAGTGATATAATGAGGATCGTATAAAAAAGGGTACGTGTTGGCCCTTTTAAATAAAAATAAGAAAATGGGACTTATGTGTTGTGTTTTCTGTTTGGTTTTTAGACATTTTGGTTACAAGAATCATCACAACGAGGCGAGTTGGTGCCTCCAAACTATGAATGCACACATACAGTGTCATCAACCTGATAGAAAGCAGCTGGCTGCAGCCTTCCCTTTGCAGCTCCTAAACATCAAACCAAACTAACTGAGACCAAGACCAGAGTGCTCCAAGACCAAGACCCTATATATCACTCAAAAATCCTCATCTTGTGTGCAACGGGTGTGTCCCTCACTTAGACAATAACATGGGAAAGTTGTGGCCGTAATCGGTGGATAAAAGTCAAACTACAAATGAATTGAAAGTTGTTTGTTCTTTTAAAAAGAGGCGTTTTCCTTCTAATGATGTCGAATAGTGGTGGTCATGACCGGTGTTGATTTAATATGTGGAGTCCGCCCAGTCTGAGACCGAGACAAGATCAAGTAAAAATGCTTTCAATTCCAAGACGAGACCTTCAAAAAGTGGTCTTGAGACCAAGACTGAAATCGAGTCCTAAAATACTGAAGAATAGTTTTAAAAAAATGCTATTTATCCATAAACATAAACTACACATCGGCAGATCACCTGAGCACTAAAACATCCGACACTAAGAAAAGTCCTGATGATGTACAGACTCAGCACAGTCGAAAGAGCTGGCTCCCACAGGAGGCCACTCCCACTGTGACACCTTACAGGTAGAGACAGAGCCTCACATCACGTCCCAAATATCAGACTGTGAGAGTCGAATCCTTCCTCTAATAGCACACGTTAACCCTGAGTTTGAACACACAACACACAAAAACAATATAATAAAATCAATGAACTCCTAAAATAACAACATTGATTGAACTAAGTTAATTCTTCCCGCGGGGGGGCAGCACTGCACTTCTCAGTGAACAGCCTGCCGGAATTCAATTCGAAGAAGAAGTAGAATGACTTCCGGGTTATGCGCCACATGTGTTTCCTGTGAATTTCAAACTTGTTGTGAGACATGAGATACTTACAGATTTACTGCAAGGACAACTACATTTGATCTTTTATACTAACCTACACGCGCTAATACTTCCGGTGTTCCACATGAATCATCACTTGACCAGACCAATGCCTTTGTGAAACTTTAACTCTTCTTCGTTTACTGTTTGTGACAGTGTGTGACCCGTAGTGAGGTGTTGCACCCTGTATGAGTGTTCCTCGCTGCAATAGACGATCTTTGCAGGCTCTTCACCATGCTGACTCTCTGCGTCAGAAACGTCCTGTTCAGAAGTTTCCCGTCCCAGAGCAGCAGCGACGCTGTGCAGCTCACTGTGAGACCCTGCAGCTCATCCAGGGCTCAGGAGGAGGACCTGCACCAGACCAGGACTCTGCTGCGGCTCTGCGTGGACAGGTACTTCCTCTCACCTGGTGAAGCCAACATGGAGCTGTTCCGGCGCGGGATGAGCTGCAGGTACGGACCTCTGGGCACCGAGCTGAGGAGAAACCTGCTGGAGCAGTGGTGGCACTCTGTGAGCCGGACCACAGCTCAGGTGTTTGGGATAAACACCCTGAGTAGCAGCAGCGGGGACACAGCCACAGGTGCTCCAAGAAAACTGAACATTGTTGAGAATGAACATATCAAACAAATATTGGAAGAGAAAGAAGTGAGTAAGGATCTGCTCATCCAGAAGATACAGGTGCTCCTTCAGAGATCCCCGACTGGGAGGACAAGCTGCCTTCAAGGTAGGATGCTGCAGACGAGACTGCCAGATTTGAATGGTCTATACTTCCCCCAAATAACGGTGACAGCAACTGGGGACCCACTAACCCTGGAGGAGGTGAAAGAAACATTTCATGTTGCCCACTATGACCAAAACACATCATATTATTCTACTAACTTATTGTGAGAAACGCTAGAAGCAGAACACCCGTGATCTCTTGAACTACGTTTTTTGTATATTTGACAATAAGAGAAATGCTATTTTTGGAAGGAATCTCATGACCCCACTCTCAGTGTCCAACGACCCCCCCATGGGGTCCCGACGACCCCCACTTTGGGAACCACTGGTCTATAACATGGACAAGTACCAAAGCTTTGAAAAAAAACACAGATCTTGAGTCATATTTGAAAGCGAGTTGCAGAGAGAGGAGCGGTGGTCTTCTCTTGAGTCCTTTTGGTGTCTCATAAAAACACAAGCTGTTGGTTTATCTCTCTGACAGACAGGCACAGGAAGTGACACTTCCTTAATTGCACAAATACATTTGAAACCGTTGTCAGGGTATTTGTGCAATTTAGACGGTGCAGGAGTTTGATTGATCCAAAGGCAACTGGACTTGGTTGAAGACCTTGAAGACGTTTCACCTCTCCTCCCTCCAAAAGGCTTCTTGACCTGAAACTGTTTCCTACCTCACTCTCTGAATGTCTATCAGCATAATGTTTCCTACTTCTCCGTCTTTACTGCGCAACATGGGAAAACCCAGAAGGTGAACGTGTCGTCGGGTTTTGTTCTCAGGTGCCTTGGAGCAGTTTGTTCCTTCGTTGGAGCTGGTGAACAGGAAGCTGCCGTTTGGCCTGGCAGAGACTGGTCTATGTTTTCAGCCCTCAGGTGGCTCTGGTTGGTGAGGCTTCATCTCCTGCCTGTCTCTCTGTTTGTCTCATTTTTACAGATCTGAAGAAGTGCTGTTTTTTTATGAATTCATTCATTTTTTCTTTCAGCCCCGGTGAGGTCACTCGGGCGTCTCTGGTTTGGTTCTGCTCGGCTCGTGCCTCCTCTCAGTGGCTGGATCACTGGACGAGACAGAGGCTGAAATGGTGGAGGAAAGTGAGTGTGTGAGGAAGTGTCTCCTCTGAAAGATGTTCAAAGCTGAAGCAACTTCAAGAGTCGCCTTGTACACCTTGTTACCTTCTTAGGGTGTCAAAACCTTCGATGCTTCAATACTTTTCAAACCACTTGTTTCAAAACGACACAATTTGTTGAGATTACTCGAGAGTCTTTTCAAAACCTTCAGATCTTCACTCGTGTTTTTAACCAAGTTGTCGAGACAGAGAGATCGTTGTCTGAATTACCCAAATACATTGCCAATGTTTGTGCAATTTGTTGGTAATTTAAAAACAAGAAATGATTTGTTACTGGGTGCCTTTCATTTATGATGCAGTTGTTTTGAAACACATCACTATCTTTTCTGCAATCATATCTAAGTTTAAAAGCCGTATAGATAATGGACTGATGGAGGTTGGAGGGGAGAAGAGATAATATCCTTTTTATTTTCTTGCTCCAATACAGTCTAAAAAGGTCCGAATATGTAATGACTTAACATCCATGACACATAAAAAATAAACATTTATGACTGCATGATACACTCCAACACTCATCCAACACTAAATTTCCCCCCCAGGTAGTCACTAATGTTTTTAAATTCAAGGTGTGAGTTTGTGAAGAGGGAGCTGTCACTTTAAATCATTTTTAAATCATGAGAACTTCAGCCACATGGAATCAATACCTCGTGTCTTTCCTCCAGTTCGCCCTGTCTCCGTCAGACTTCAGCAGTAGCGACGTGCCCGAGGAGGAGCTGGAGAAGGCGGCGTCCCGCGGGGTGAGGATCATCTACAGCTTCCCGTGGGGGAGGAGACGCTGGAGACGCTGTGGAACCGAGGAGACGCTGAGCTGCTGCGGACACACGGAGGAGATCGCTCCAAGCTGCAGGTCAGCTGGCTGCTTTTTATTCAGCGCTGTCGCTGCCTCGTCGTCAGAGTAACCACCTGCAGTGTGTTCGTTTGTCTTCCAGTGTCGAGACGGCCGGAAGTCAGTCCCTCACGTCATCTCTGTGACCGCCAACGTGGACCGTGGAGCGCTGGCTTTTCTATCCAACTCACTCCAAACGCTCAAGAAAGAAGACAGCCGACAGAGGCTGCAGCAGAGGAAGGTGAAGACTAACTGGCTTTGTTTTTCTCTTCCAGCCTCACACTCGGGCTCCTCTCTTTGTGATGTTCTTCTCTGTTTTTTTGACTGAACTTTCTTTGGCTCTCTGGTGATTTTAGGTTCTGAAGCTGCATCCAGTGCTGGCTCCGGTCAAAGTGGCTTTAGATATTGGCAGAGGAGCGTCTGTGGAGCTGAGACAGGTAAGACAAAAGATGATGGATGCGCCTTAACCGTGGGTCAAGTGCTGAGTGCAAAGGTTCTCTCTAGCAGCCTCAGGACCCACCTTCAACTCCTTCATGTCAAATTGTGACCCAAATTTCAGATATTTTTCAACCAATCAGATTTAATTAAAGGCTTTAAATGTGATTTCTCACACTTTAATGTAGCAGAAATCAAGTATATCCTCTGAAAATAACTCTGAGTCCAGCTGTCTGTGATGTTTACCGAGCCGTATCTACAACGTGTTTACATCGCCAGGACGGCCGGCTGACTCCTCCCCTCGTGTATAAAAGTTGTTTAATTGAGGGACTAGAGAAAAGAAGAATAACATACTGTACTCACTGCTTAACTGTGTTTCTAGATCACGCTCATTTCAGGTCAATTTACATGCAGTGTGAAGATACCAGCATAATAAAGATCGCTAGCATTAGCATGCTAACACAACAATGCAGCGCAAGTTGTTTTGGTTTCATGCTGGTGCTCAAGGGCGACATCTGCTGGATCAAAAAATCACATATAAAGACTTTAATGATGATTTGTGCAGTTTGGACCGCAGACGGTAGAAAACGTAACAGAAGGAAGGAAACGCTTCATAGATTTTTTGACACCATGTTTTTTTTCAGATACATATTAGACCCACTTTTGGGTCTCGACTTTGAATGTCACTTTGACACAGTAATTTTCAAACACATTAGAACCCCCCCCCTTCCCCCCGCCGTCACCGCACAGACTCAAAGTTTTCATTACTTAATTTAACCATTGCAATAACGAGCCTAAAGCCAACCGCCTGGTGACAATCAGAGAGGACCGCCATTCACCAGAAACACAAGTCAATCATCTGGATCGTGGTCGAGTGCAGCTCTCTTTTTCTTTACGATGTTACCTGCTGGTGTGAACACCCGTTCAGAGCGCACAGGCGTTCATGGTACACACAAATATTTGCGAGTCAGCTTGGAGAGTTGCGGTTTTGCAGCGACCCTGTGTCTCTCCACCAAAAGCAGCGGGCTGCTGTCTGCACAGAGAGACGAGTCTCACTCATGTAAATTTGCATCTCCTGAATCCTTGTGAATGCACTCAACATGACTTTACACGGAAATATAACCCAGAGGGGGTGACAGGAACAAAAAAAGTCTGGGTGAAAAAGTTGTCCTTTGTGTTCATACATGCAGCTCACACTGGAAATGTGTGTTTGTGTTCACTGAGTAGGTGTCGGTTAAAGTGGATAAATGAGAATGTCATTCCTCTGCAGGTTTGTGAAGGGCTGCTGAAGGAGTTCATGGAGGCAAAGATCTCGACGTGGCCCGGGTATCTGGAAACATCAGCGGGGCAGCTGAACACAAAGTGAGCCGCGTGTAGCCTCGTAGTGGAGGCAGAAGCAGATTTATTTTCACCAGAGCTCCTCTAGTTCTACACTGATGTGTATCGTTGTTGCCGGTGCAATTTCAGGTATGACGAGATGGGCGTGCTTTTCACCGTGGTGGTCAACGAGAACACGTTGGAGAGCGGCCTCCTTCAAGTCCGCAGCAGAGACACCACCGTCAGAGAGACGATGCACATCTCTGAGATCAAGAAGTTCCTCTCCAGATATATAACCGCTGCCGACAACGTCTGAGGGGACCCTTTGTTTGAGCAACTCAACGGAGCTTCAGGATACTGGGCAAGGGGGGTCGGCACTATACCGGATTTTAAACAAGGCGATACTAGAAAACATCCAACGATATCAAAAACTATTCTGATTCCACGGCAACAAACATGGATGTCCTACTGCTGAATGTGTGTGCGGTCCTTTTTTACTGAAGTCAGTGTGTGTCCTTCCTCTGGCTCCGCTCTGCTCCGTCTGTGCAGATTCCTCTGCAGCAGACACACAAGGCTTCTGTTTCTGCAGGATGCCGGAGCACGGAGCATCAATTTACCATAGAGCAGATCAAGCGGGACAGGAAGTCAGACACAGAAACAACATTAAAACATCTGGTTTACTTTGAGAGTTAAACACTGAGGTTGGGTTAGGCACTCAATGTTGGAGAATTTCCGGTTATTAATTACCAAAAAACTGAAAGCAAACTCCTGCACATTGTCTTTATTCAGTAAAAATATGTTAGACATTGTCGCCTTCAGAAGAGCTGAGCAGACATTTGACATGACATCATGACATTTAACTCAGTTTTTTCAGTGGTAAGTAAAATCAAGTTCTTTTTCTGGAGAGCTCAACTGACCTCTCATCATCTCAGGATTACAACGCTGATTCTCCAGTGATAACGAGGTCATTGCAGCTTTGTTATCACAGGAAAAGAAGCATTGTTACCCTGAGATAATGAGATAAATAGGTCAAAATGTAAAAATGAACACAGTAGTGTACTTGTTAGCTCGAGAAAACAGATTCAGAAGAGAGTTCTGCTTAGTGTGTCTGTGTGTCAGCTCTGTGTGTTTGTAAGAGACGTAAAGTTTGAGTCTTTGTGAGACGCCTAAAGGAGAAACATCCGTACCAGCAGTCTAGGATTTAAACAGATCGTTGGCTTCGTCTCATCTTACAGCCTCCTCTCAAAGCTCAGTTCTCATAACGAGCGGTCAGGTCCATGTCGCTGACTGAATTCTGATGCTTTTTATTCATTTATATTAAACGTTCTCTTTGATATTATATTATTTTTAGTGTGTTTTATTTGTTATTTATGACTCTTGTTTATCAACATTTCTTCAACATAATATCTAATTGTGCGCACAAGATAATTACATTTTGTTCTGATACAACCTTTTAGTATAATAATTCTAACCATAGCTTTATTGAAATCGATTTACAAATTTCATATTGTGAATTAATTACTTTATTCTAGTAAATGTTTGAATTTAATCTTGAAAACTTGGGGGGGGGGGGTCTTCTACGTGACTTCTACGTGACAGTGTCAGAGTCTTCTACGTGACCCGGACACTGTAAATAACAGTATACACATGAATGTATAAGATCAGCGAAATCTCGCGATAAGTCAGTGTAGTCTCGCCCCTCCCTGTGCCGTCATCAGTCGCTTCTTCTGCATGTGTGTAGCGCCGCTTAGCCGTTAGCATTAAGAGATGTCCGCAGACAAGCAAAACGACGCCAAATTCTCCGCCATGGATGAAAATAAAGAAAATTCCCCGGACGGAGGACTCGGACTGGAGAGTATCCTTCACAGCAGCTCAAATGTGTCGCCGCAGTTTGGTTGTGTTTTATGTAGCGAAACTATGTTAGCATCGGGAGCTAACGTCAGCTAGCCTTTTAGCTTACGTGTCACACTGGAGCTTCTGTTAGCTGGAGATTAAACAGAAATCCTGTCTGACTCTGTTTGTGAAGCTAACTTTAAATAAGATAAATAACACATAGAAATACTGTCTGACTCTGTTTGTGAAGCTAACTTTAAATAAGATAAATAACACATAGAAATACTGTCTGACTCTGTTTGTGAAGCTAACTTTAAATAAGATAAATAACACATAGAAATACTGTCTGACTCTGTTTGTGAAGCTAACTTTAAATAAGATTAATAACACATAGAAATCCTGTCTGACTCTGTTTGTGAAGCTAACTTTAAATAAGATAAATAACACATAGAAATCCTGTCTGACTCTGTTTGTGAAGCTAACTTTAAATAAGATAAATAATGTGAGGGTCCGTGTGTTCGAGCTGTAACCTCCTCATGTTTAAGGTCTACACTGTGTGATAAAGTAGATGAGGTTGTCCCTTAACCTTTAACCTCAGTTCTGCAAATCATCAAGGAGTCTCAGCAGCAGCATGGCCTCAGACACGGAGACTACCAGAGATACAGGTGAGTTCAGGTCACACCTGAGCTTTACAACTACACCTGAGCTTTACAACTACACCTGAGCTTTACAGCTGCACCTGAGCTTTACAACTACACCTGAGCTTTACAACTACACCTGAGCTTTACAGCTACACCTGAGCTACTACACCTGAGCTTTACAACTACACCTGAGCTACTACACCTGAGCTTTACAGCTACACCTGAGCTTTACAACTACACCTGAGCTTTACAGCTACACCTGAGCTTTACAGCTGCACCTGAGCTTTACAACTACACCTGAGCTTTACAACTACACCTGAGCTTTACAGCTACACCTGAGCTTTACAGCTACACCTGAGCTTTACAACTACACCTGAGCTTTACAGCTACACCTGAGCTTTACAGCTACACCTGAGCTTTACAACTACACCTGAGCTTTACAGCTACACCTGAGCTTTACAACTACACCTGAGCTTTACAGCTACACCTGAGCTTTACAGCTACACCTGAGCTTTACAACTACACCTGAGCTTTACAGCTACACCTGAGCTTTACAACTACACCTGAGCTTTACAGCTACACCTGAGCTTTACAGCTACACCTGAGCTTTACAACTACACCTGAACTTTACAACTACACCTGAGCTTTACAGCTACACCTGAGCTTTACAGCTACACCTGAGCTTTACAACTACACCTGAGCTTTACAACTACACCTACACCTGAGCTTTACAGCTACACCTGAGCTTTACAGCTACACCTGAGCTTTACAACTACACCTGAGCTTTACAACTACACCTACACCTGAGCTTTACAGCTACACCTGAGCTTTACAGCTACACCTGAGCTTTACAACTACACCTGAGCTTTACAACTGCACCTGAGCTTTACAGCTACACCTGAACTTTACAGCTACACCTGAGCTTTACAGCTACACCTGAGCTTTACAACTACACCTGAGCTTTACAACTGCACCTGAGCTTTACAGCTACACCTGAGCTACTACACCTGAGCTTTACAGCTACACCTGAGCTTTACAGCTACACCTGAGCTTTACAGCTACACCTGAGCTTTACAAACTACACCTGAGCTTTACAACTACACCTGAGCTACTACACCTGAGCTTTACAACTACACCTGAGCTACTACACCTGAGCTACTACACCTGAGCTTTACAACTACACCTGAGCTTTACAACTACACCTGAGCTTTACAGCTGCACCTGAGCTTTACAACTACACCTGAGCTTTACAGCTACACCTGAGCTTTACAACTACACCTGAGCTTTACAACTACACCTGAGCTTTACAGCTACACCTGAGCTTTACAACTACACCTGAGCTTTACAACTACACCTGAGCTACTACACCTGAGCTTTACAACTACACCTGAGCTTTACAACTACACCTACACCTGAGCTTTACAGCTACACCTGAACTTTACAACTACACCTGAGCTTTACAACTACACCTGAGCTTACAGCTACACCTGAGCTTTACAACTACACCTGAGCTTTACAGCTGCACCTGAGCTTTACAGCTACACCTGAGCTACTACACCTGAGCTTTACAGCTACACCTGAGCTACTACACCTGAGCTTTACAACTACACCTGAGCTTTACAGCTACACCTGAGCTTTACAGCTACACCTGAGCTTTACAGCTACACCTGAGCTTTACAACTACACCTGAGCTTTACAACTACACCTACACCTGAGCTTTACAGCTACACCTGAGCTTTACAACTACACCTGAGCTTTACAACTACACCTGAGCTTTACAGCTACACCTGAGCTTTACAGCTACACCTGAGCTTTACAACTACACCTGAGCTTTACAACTACACCTGAGCTACTACACCTGAGCTTTACAGCTACACCTGAGCTTTACAACTACACCTGAGCTTTACAACTACACCTGAGCTACTACACCTGAGCTTTACAACTACACCTGAGCTACTACACCTGAGCTACTACACCTGAGCTTTACAGCTACACCTGAGCTTTACAACTACACCTGAGCTTTACAACTACACCTGAGCTTTACAACTACACCTGAGCTACTACACCTGAGCTACTACACCTGAGCTTTACAGCTACACCTGAGCTTTACAGCTACACCTGAGCTTTACAACTACACCTGAGCTTTACAGCTACACCTGACCTTTACAACTACACCTGAGCTTTACAACTACACCTGAGCTTTACAGCTACACCTGAGCTTTACAGCTACACCAGACCTTTACAACTACACCTGAGCTTTACAGCTACACCTGAGCTTTACAGCTACACCTGAGCTTTACAGCTACACCTGAGCTTTACAACTACACCTGAGCTTTACAGCTACACCTGACCTTTACAGCTACACCTGAGCTTTACAGCTACACCTGAGCTTTACAACTACACCTGAGCTTTACAGCTACACCTGAGCTTTACAGCTACACCTGAGCTTTACAACTACACCTGAGCTTTACAGCTACACCTGACCTTTACAACTACACCAGGTGGTCTTGCATTAGATATCTCACCTTTTCACAAAGAGGTGCACACATTGATGTGAGTATCTGAGTGTTTAATGGTTAGAAACTAACTTGTATTTTGTAGGTAAAGAAGCTGAATGTAAACCTCTCCTCCCATGTGGTTACCATGACACTGTTAATGTTGAACCTCTACCAACTGAGACACACAGGAGTTTCATCTCCACAGACCATGTGAGGCCTGATCCATGGGGGGTCTGAGCATCCAGAGCTGCTGTTGGAATACACAAACAGTCCCAGGAGAAAATTAATCAATTTGTTGTTGTTTCTCTAGAACGGTAGTTAAGGCGGAGGGTACATGTAGTTAAAGGGATACTTCACCTGTTGAAACATGAATCTGTGTTGACATTGGGTCATATATGTAGAAATGTGAAATACATTTTGAAGTTGGTGCCTTCTTGGCCGTGAAAAGACAGAAAGTGTCTTTTTGGCTCATGTGGATGAAAGACACCAAATCCCAGAATGCACAGCACCGCAGGCCACGCTGTATTTACAGACGTTTACTTCAACACATGAGGACGTTTCTTCAACTGATTCCGAGATTTCTTCCAGAAAGAATTAGCATCTTGGAATTCCTGTCAGAAAACAGACTCTATGTCAGTGTCCATAGACAAACAGTGAGAGCACCGACACTACCAGTCCGCCCCAGCTCGAGCCGACCCCGGCTCCTCGTCCTCAACACCGCTATATTGCGGCTCGTAGAGATGGCCACAAACATCCGATTCCAGCTTTCTCCATAGAGCCTGTTAGCATAGCTTCCAAGCAATATGGCGGACGTTAAGTTTTGATTCTGGGAGTGAGTTCCCACCCACTGATCTGTGATTGGTCTGTAGCTTCAGTGGTCGAAAATATGAGGCACTAGCGTTGTAGTTTCACGCCGCTAACCGCAACAGCTTCCAGTGATGCAAAATTACGACATTTGCGTCACTGGAAGCTCCTTTACAGATTTAGAAATACAAAAATTTCACGTCGGGAAAATGATAATCAGGGGATGTACGACCATTCAAAAATACTACCAGGTTTCTAATGATACAAAGATTGATGCAAATGGGTGAAGTATCCCTTTAAGGCGCTGAGGGAAAAACTGAAATGACTTCACCAGCGTAACATGTCAGCGCCTGTTTCCGGGGTATTTGGACTTCACTTTTGTACAACAGAAGGAGACAAAGACGACCTCTCATATTGATATACAGTCGATGTTGTCTTGTCCATTCTGGTGCATAAGGATGAAATGTGTCTGTTTGCTAAGTTACTTTGGTGTAATGTAACCGTGACTGTTTTCTTTTTCCAGGGGCTACTGCTCCCGCAGACTGCGTCGCTTACGCAAGACT